AATTATGTTTAAACCCAAGGTCATAGATAGTGATATATAAGATTTTATCCTGTGGCTTTATGAAATACATGTTTAGTCATTTGAAATAAACAGATGTTTGGTCTTTGCAGGGAAAAACATTGCTTGTATTCGTCTCTTTTCGTTCAGAGACTTTTGGCATCATATGTAGTCTAATATGTTTAGTGTCAAGACATGATTAGAACCTTCCCACTGACAGTCTGTGTGATCAAAGCTACTTATGTATATGTAAGATAAAGCATCATATATATAATTGTCATTTTGCTTTTATATGTGTCATGCCAGGTTTGATGCCAGAACCTTTATAAGAGATTTTTTTTTCCATAAGAAAGAGCTTTCCAAGGAATTCTCATCCAGATATTAGTCATCTCCTATCCTCACAGCTTCCCCTGATGATACGATCCCCTTCAGGATCTACAGGCAAAACATTTCTAGCAAAGTCATCTCTGCTGTTTCTTAAGAAACTTAACATTACAGAATATTATCCTGTGCACAGCTCACATGTTACTTCCTGTTATTGTCTAAATGTCTGTACCTCAGAATTAATCCAATAGAAATAAAATGTTTAAAACCTTAGGTAAATGATTTTGAAGGTATAACCTTCGGGGAGTGATTGGGTCATCAAAGCACTGCCTTCCTGAATGTATTAATTCATGTATGGAATAGTGAATTATCAAATTAATTTGCTGCAGAAACAATAGTTCCCAGGCATATTTCTTTTATTCTCTGTTGTAGTGCTGCCTGCTTTGTGATGTCACAGTAAAAAGGCATTGGGCAGATAATAACAGGTAGGCAATACCATGCTCTTAGAGATACCAGGCCATAGAACCATGGCATTAATGTCTGTTCTGATTACCTTTAGTTGTTAGCTTGATACCTAGATTCATCTGAGAGGATCTCCTCTGCTGAGGAAGGATCTGAATCAGATTAGCCTATGAACTTATCTGTGAAGAATTGTCTTGATCATTAATTGATGTAGGAGGACCCAACCCACTGTGTAGAGGAGAATTACCAATTGGCAGGTGGTCCTGAACTGTAAGAAAGTTAGTTGAGTATAAACGTACCTGCAAGCTAGGTAGCAAGCATCATCTATTGTGTCCTGCTGTACATTTTGTCTGTGAACCAAGTTCTGTCTGGAATAGTAAACAGGCCTGCCTCAAGTTCTTGTCATGACTTCCTTCAGTGATGGACTGTGATCTAGAATTGTAAGCTAAAGTGAACCTCTTTTCTTCTCCTAAGTTACTCTTTGTCAAAGTCTTAGAAATGAAACTGGCCCACCAAACCCTATTCATTGTAAATGACCTGGGTTCAGATATTCAATTACAACAGAAAATGAACAAAGCCCTTGAACTTGCCTCTAGCACTTCCAGGAAATGGTGGCATCCCCCTGTACTTGGCTGACTCAGTCCCTCGGTCCTTTCCAGTGTTGTCTGCCTGGGTATCATTTCTGTATTACCACTGAATTCCCTCTTCTTATCAAGCATCACTCTTGGCCCAGTCTTTGTTTTCAAGCATTTCTTACTTCATGTTCTCTCATGTTTTCTGGGAAATATGCCCACGGCTCGCAAATCTATTCAGTTGATTTCATTTTCCCCAATTTTATAAAAATTCATTTTGTCTGGGAAAGCCTTGTATAGTGTCCCTTGTCTTCTAGATGTGATTCATCAATGGAATGTCCCTGGTTTTCCTTGATGGACTGTGAAAGTCTAGTATATGCCCACTGGGAATTTTGGTAACTTCTGGTCAACTCTGAGGCCGTAAAAGTGCTAGACTTCTTTTCTTGTTTCAGTGATCATGGAACTGACCCCCCAAATAACCAAGATTTAGAGTTGATGCCAGGAGTCGTTTCATTTTCTTTGCTTTGCTTTCCTTTTTATTTTTGTTTTGGAGACTGGGTTTCGTGTAGCTCAGGGTGACCTAGAACTCACAATGTTGCCTTAAATCCTTCTTCCTTCTGTCTCCATCTCCCTGGTGGTAAGATTAGAGAGTCAGGAGTTCTTATCCTCATTAATACAGGAACTCAGAAATGAACTCAAAAGGAAGTGCAAGGACGCTTTACTAGAGTGTAAAATAAAAGACAGCAAAAGTTATGAGAAAACCCTGGCAGCCACCAGGAGGAAATGGCATGGGTAGAAAAAGACAGCTTATTAAACAGGGAAACAGCTTGCTAAAGAGTGGAAGTGAGCTACTGAGGTGAGAAAAGAGCCTCCCCAGCCCCCAAGGCCTGAGTGTATTATCCTTTAGTCCCCCCTCCCAGTGCACCCCCACCTCCTGAGCTTTGATTCACACTTGCTCTGATATGAGTGTAAAGAAGGGCTTCTTGTCTTCTCTTTGACCCGTGTGTTTCAGGTATTACTCTTGAGGTAGGCTTTTTAGTTTGGTGACTGGCTGGAATGGCTTCTGAGCAAAGTGACCTATCTAACTTCTGCAGGTTTGTTTTACTTTTTACACCTATAGTCCCCCCCCATTCAAATCAGTGGATCTTCCAGATGGGATTCAATCTCTCATCTTTCTTTCTTCACCACCCTACTCAACATTTGATAGTCCTTGCACTTTTAGGAGCCTAGGAAACTCCTTCACAAAAGTCACACCACAATGAGAGTGGCTGTTTAGTAGGTTTCCCTGTGAGATGTCTTTATAAAACAAACACACACTTTTAAGTGGAAAATAAGTATAGAACATAAGGGTCTTTAGGCACAAGGGCAGAACAGCTAGGTGAAGAGTAAGTGTGGGGCTGAGATTTTCTAGTTCCTCTCAGCATCCTGGATGCAGACCTATATTTACTTTACTGAGCATGTGGACCAGTTCATTGTTCTCTCCATGGCAAGAGAGAGGTCACCTGCCTTCAGCCCAGTCACTGTAGACAGCCCTGCACAATCATCACCCAGGGTGTGGCTACCAGAGTGAAACACATCCTCTATCTTTCACATGACCTTGGTGTTCTGTAGAAATAGTTCTCGAAAGATTAGGTATACTGGAAGGAGGATGATGTCACTGAGATGTCTTCAGCTGTTCCCACAAAACCACAGCTGGAGGCATTCTAGGTCCTAGGAGGGTAGGGGATCTACTCTCATTATTTTACTAAGTGGTCATGTTGTTCAACTGCCTTCTGAATATTTGTGCTTGAACCCGTAGATCTGGGCTGTCTCAGTCTTGGTGAGAGAAGCAGACAAGACAGAGGCTCCTAACTGTTCTAAGTGCTGTGGAGAAGTGACTGAATGTCCAGCCCTAAATGAGACATCTATGTCACCACTCCATCCCTGCACTCAGGATGTGTCCCAAGAGTATAACACCTAGAGGGTAGGGCAGAGTGCTGTGAAATGCTGTCTTTTGCACATGACATGACCGCCGTATGCATGAATTCGGAATATCTGTGGATACCTGCAGATCTATGCAAGATTAAGCCAGTCAACACTCCAGCATGAATGTGGGAGGCACTCATGAGGTGACACTCCTAACTGAAAATTGTATAGCAGTTGATGAAGTGTACCAGGATGAGAGTGGGGCTTAGAATTTGTGGGGTGGTAGGTTGAGGGTGTTGGCCCATGTGGGGCTAAATAGTCCCATATTCATGTGCATATGAGCAACACTAATTAGGCCCATTTGAGAAGGGAGGATGAAGGAGGAGGAGGAGGAGGAGGAGGAGGAGGAGGAGGAGGAGGAGGAGGAGGAGGAGGAAGGACATGAAGTTGGGAGGGGGACCTGTTGGAGAGAAGAATGTGTTGTTGGAATAGGGCCTGGGGGAGTTGGCAGAACAAAATGGAGGTGGATATGATTAAAAGATGTATCCATGTATAAAATGTCAAGGAATTAATTTAAGGAGCAAAGAGCCCAGGGCATCTGAGGAAATATCTTTCTGAGCAGCCAGAGGATGGTCTGAGCTTCTTGTGGTTTTTACACGCAGGCTTAAGATCAACCTTGACTGTTTAAGGGTTTAACAAGACATGGAACTTTCTCTGATCACATTTAACACATGAATCCTGTCATGACATGAGAACTTTTATGCCCAGGAGGAGGTACACAAGCCCCATAGCTCAGTGAGATACAGGGGAGGAGTAATTAATATAAACAAATAGATCTTAAACATTATCTTTTAAAAATAATTCTCTGAGGGCTTTGTATTTCCATAATTTGTCTATAGCACAATTACACAGTTCACCAATAAACAAATGGACATATTAGAGTCTGTGATTATTTTTTATTTTAACTTGGTAAGTAGGCAGACTTAAATATGGCAAATGACCCTGGAACTGGTGACCTCAGCCATAGAGTTCTGTTCAGTCCAGGTGCTATAACAAAAACTGTTCTGATAGCCCATCCTGGCCTGTGAGAATTTTAAATAGCTTCTGACCAAACTTTTCCTTTCACTGCCTTCAAGACACAAAAGGAGTAGAGAATACCAAGCCATTAAAAGATCAGTGTTCCCATCTCATATGTCAGGCTCCTAAGTGTTTGCATATGAAGTAGGTACTTTATCCTAAAATTTCTTGTGCATTTCTATGCCTCTGATTACAGAACAGCTTCTTGTGCAGACATTTTCTAAGGGCATCAAAGGGCAACTAGAAAAATTTGATAGAAAAAGCATTTGTATCAGGTTAATTAGTCACAGAAAAGTATAAGTACAGTATTTATTTGCTGAGACCACAGTAGGAAGTGTGATTGTGTTGTCCATGTGTCCTTCCATTGTGGAAGGAAAGCATAGTGTTAAGTGACTGTCCTTTGATGCTGGGTGATCTTTTCTATGAGGAGGCTGCCTCTTAAACAGTCAGGGCCTAGCAGGTTGCCTGTCAGGGCAAGCCCAGAGGTGGCATTACTTGGTGTTTGCTGATCAATGACTCTTTGGAGCTTGGAGAACTTAGGCTCAAGGAGTGACTCCGGAGGTTGAGCTGTGTGGTGCTGTGAAGGATTCCACAGCCCAGCACAGGACTGTGATGTAGTGCCTTGTGACTCAACATCGCCAAAGCTTACGTGCTTTTCCTCAGCTTGGAATACCCAGAATGGAGCTGTTGGTAAATCACAGTCCACACCCCAACTCTTCAGTCTTTTTGCTAATTTCTGCTGCTTCACTTCAGAGTCCCAGAACAACACTGTGATGACTCACCAGCTCTACTTCCTGTAAGTAATCATTTTCCCACGGTGAGTGATGGTTTACTCCGGGGGAAGGAGGAAGAATGTTGATTTGATTTTTCTTTTTTTTCTGTGCAGCATTTCTGCTGACTGAGAGCTAACTTTGAGTACTTTGTCTCCGTTTCCATAGTCATGTCAAAAATGCAACTTTAAAAATATTTTAATTTGTTAAACTAAATCCTCTGAAGTGTATGTTATCTGTAGGGAACAAGAACATGATAAGCCCAAGGCAAAGCTTGTTTTTAAAAGTATTTAATGGTAACTTTGTAATTTTTCTATTTAGTTTGGTGTGAAATGACTTCCTGTGCGTTGGAGAGGCCAAAGGCTGGAGGGACCCCACTGTAGCACCATTCTATGGCTGAAAGATCTGAGACCCAAAGAATCTACATGAGTTGTCTGTTTCTGCACAACTGGTCAGTAACAGATAGATGTGGGCAGGGATCAGCTAATTTTAGGCTGTGATTTTCCATAACCTTGTGAATGATAAATAGATCTAAGCTTATCTGTGACTTGTCAGGAGACACAGAAGCATACAACTTTGTGATGAGAGTATTTCTTTCTTTGGACAGAGTAGAATGGGGGAAAGAAGGTGCTCAGAGTTTAAGCACACAGTAGGTGGCCAATAATACATCTAATTATTACAGATGACCTGGTAAAGTGCTACCTGGTTCTGGGGGCTTCCTTTCACCCATTTCTGTTCTCCTCTAGGCTGTGGAGTGCTTTCTCCTGCTCAGCAAGGCTCAGTGCTGGCTGAATTTCCTGTGACATTTGCATGTGAGTTGTCTCATTTCCCTGAAACCCTGTCACAAGCCCTGAGGTTACTACAGAGAAAGATCTGAAACCCCCGCCAGGGAAGTCCCATGGAGAAGTATTGCCTTCCCTTCTGGAGTTTACAGCTCTCTTCCAGATAGCTGGCCCTCCAAGCTATGGCTCCCAGGCCACTGATAGGGCAAAGCGTGGTGGTGGCCAGAGGCTATCCCCAGGCTCTGCTCCTGGCCCTGGGTCCTTTCAGCATACCCTTCAGATGACTTTGTCTGACTTTCCCCTATTTTGCTCTTTCCCTTTCACCCTCCTCCCTCACCAATGGAAATTTAGAGGGTTCTGTGGTTCTTAGGGGACTTTGGGGCCATACATTTTATGTCCTCACTTCCTCTACACATCACAGGGGATTGCTAAAGCAGATTGAGTGCCCAGAACCCCAGCAGGCTCCCTCCTCCAGGATGCAGTTGCCACATAGGTAGACTTTTCAAATTCTCTTTTTAAGTCTCAACTGCAATATATATATATAGTGTGTGTGTGTACATACATACATTTATTTTTGCAGTGTTTTCCTGTAATTTAAATTTCCTATAATTTAAATGTCAGGTGTCACAATAAAACAGTCAATTTAATTAAATGGGTTTACTTATTTAACTATGGATATATATCTGCATCTCTGTGATTGTTTAAATGTTTGTGTGGATGTGTCTCTGAGTATATTTTTTGTGTGTTTGCAACATATGTGGTATGTGTATGTCTGTGTGTATGTATATATAGATGGTTGTACGTATTTATGTAGTATATGTGTATATATGGATATGCCTATGTTTATATGTGGTATATATATACATATATATATTTGTATTCTTTGTGGTATACATGTATATGCACACGCACACACGCATGCATATATATATATATATATATATATATATATATATATATATATTTGTGTATGTCTGTACCTATGTGTGTGTGGTATGTATATATAGGTATGTATGGATATGTGTGGTACATAGATGTACATTTATATTTTTGTATCTGTGTGCCCATGTAAAGTATACATGGATGTATATGTGTGTATTTTTATATGCTTATGTGTGTGGTGTGTATATGTCATATACACATATATACATACACATATATATATGTATATATGTATATATATGTGCATATTTGTATATCTGTATGGCTCTCCATGTGTATAGCTTTGTACGTACATGTGTATGTGTTTGTTTCATCTTTTCCATGTTGTATTACCAGAGGAGTTCCCTCTTGAGGGTCTGTCACAGCACTATTGACCCATCTGCAGCACATTAAAAAATGCAGTTCTGTGCTAAGTGCTCTGAAAGGATATTGAGTAACATCAAATATTACAAAAGTAAAAAGGAGGAAAGAGAACCTGAGCTGCAACTCAGCTGCAGAGTGCTTGCAGAATGTGTATATATGTGTGTGTGTGTGTGTGTGTGCATGTGCACACATGTGTGTATAGGTATATGTGCATGTCTGTACATGTGTGCTTTTGTGTGCTGGTGTGTGTATGTGTGTGCACAGGTGGGTATGGGTATATGTGTGTATGTGTGTATGTGTGTATGTGCCGTGTGTGTGTGTGTGTGTATGTGTGTATGTGCCGTGTGTGCGTGTGTGTGTGTGTGTGTATGTGTATACCAATAAATTTCATTAGGGCTGTTTACAGGAGGGGCTGTTTCCAGGACCCTGTGCACCTCACCAGTGGCTACTAAAGAAAATGTCTCTCCTTCTCCATGTTGACTAATATCTATATAAGTCCTATATAAGTCAATCCTATGATCCCCCACCCTGCATGTTAACTGGCCCCATCTTGTGGAAATCATGTCTGGGTAATCATGTTGTAGTGACTTCTGGAGTGTTACAGTCATGTCATAGTCCCTGTCCCCTTTCCTCTTGGTCTTGGGTTTTCTCTCTCATCTCCCACTATGTTCCCTGAGACTAGAAGGGGGTATTTTTTAAATGCCCTATTTCTTGATGAATCTTTAATATTCATCTTATGTTCAGCACTTTGACTAATTAAGAGACTTTGGAGTTATTGTTGACCACAACAAGAAAAAAGCTTCTCTGGCCAGAATTAATAGCAGCACTATTTTATGGGCATAAACACAATTAATTAAAAGGCAGTTTAACAAGTACACCATATTTTGAAAGATAATAACAGTAGATTCTCTACTAGGGCCGGTAACCCTTCCCCACGTTATGAACTTTTAGTGGGTTTATAGTACTAGATATCAACTCCCTTTTGTTGAGCCGGTCTCAAGTCCAATCAGAAGGTAGTTGGTTTCTTCCACAACAGACTTTCCATTATTGAACCAAAGCATACATGTTAGCTGGCCAGTTGGTCCTACCAGAGGGTTCAAAGTAAATAAGACTGTTAAAAACAGTTCTTCCTCAATGGTTTGTACAGCACAATGAAAGCTAGCCAGCAGATAGGGAGCTTCCAGCTAAATTACAGCTTGATCTCTCTGTGTCTTGCAACCATGCTTATGGTATCTTCAACAACAGGGGCTTCTATATCATCCTCATGGGCAAGCAAGAGCAGAGCTAATTGCCTGCAATATGGGGCAGGGTGGCAAAGGAGAAAGATTAAGGGGTTCATATAGCTCCACCTCTCGCTGAGGATGATGGTTAATGGTTGGGGGAGAGAGATACCTTCCACTTACTCATGTGAAAACTGTAATTATACTCATTGGCTTGTGTGCGTGTGCACACACACACACACACGAAAAGTAGAAGGATGACTAATAGAGAAAAGAAAGGGAATCAATGAGGGCTAGAGGGGAAAGAGTAACGAGATGCAAATGTCATCAAAATTCATCACATATACATATAAAATAAAAGTCTCCAGTATGACTGACTTATTCCACAGATATTTATTGAGGGTCTAAATACTGAATGTTACTGGAATAACGGAGGGAATAACTTTGTTATGTTAAAGATAGGAGAAATGTTGGAGAACATGTAAGTGGTAGGTAGGTTTGTGACCTTCAAGTGGCTCAGAGACAATTAGAGAAAAAAATGTCCATGCTATTGTTCATGTATCTCTGTACTGCAACTGAGAAAAAAAAATTGGATCCAGGGGAAATGAACTAAAATGAGGGCGTGACAAGCCTGGTAGTAGGGGTGGATTGGGTCAGGGGATAGGTTAAGCAACAGGCTCCAAGAATAAAGGAGATTTGTTGAATCAATGTGCAAGAAGAGTGTCACATAATATCTAGAGGCATCAAACAAGTGACTATGTAAGGTAATTGTGTGTGTGTGTGTGTGTGTGTGTTTGTGTGTGTTATATTAGCTGGATTATTCTCTGAATGGAAAAGTGATTTATTTATTTATCTTTTTTTCTTAGCATATAAAGAAATGGGTCCATTGTGAAATTATATATATATATATATATATATATATATATATATATATGTGAAATACGTATATATGTATGTGTGTGTGTGTGCATGTGTATCAAATTTTATTCTTATCTGAACATTCCTGCTTTTCTTTCTTCCCCTATGCAGTTCACTCCTGTTTTACTGACACATATATTTCATTAGCCTCTCTTATTTTTCCTCCTTTTAGACCTCCTCTTGTCTTCTCACAGTCCCTTTCTACTCTCACACTGGGCGTACATACTCTTGCTCATATATATGTAACATACATACTTACATACATGTACATTTAAATCTATATCTTTCATATAGGAGAAAATGTTCAGCATTGATTTTTCTCATCCGACTTACACTTAATGCAATGATCCCAAGATCCACCTTTTTTCCCCTGTAAATGTCATCATTTTACTTTTCTGTACAACTGAGTAAAATCTCATTGTTCATATACATCACATTTCTCTGTCCATTCATGTGTTGAAGGACATCAAATTTGGCTCTGTATTGTGGCCACAGTGAATGGTGTAGCAATAAGCATCCATGTGTAAGGATGTCCATGCTATGCTGACTTAGAGTCTTTCTGGTGTTCAGGACTGGTACAGCTGGGTCATTTGGAACCTCTATTTTTAGTTTTGTTTGAGGAACCTCAATTACTGAGTTCCATAGTAGCTGTGTATGTTCTCATTCCCCTAACGGGATGTATGGTTCCGCTTTCCCCACATCATGGCCAGCATTTATTGTTTGTTGAGAAACACAATTCTAGTGGCTTCACCAAAAATACATAAATAAATAACCTTGAAATTTATTGTTCATGCAACTGAAATTGCCAGACTGACTTTGGCTGAAATGAAGATATCTAATAATGTTTCCTATGATTTTGCTTTTCTTCACATTTCTATTTTAGCATTTCCCCCTGGCTCCTATTTTTAGACAGACTTGCTCACATAGTGGTAAAGATGACCATCTGCAGCTGGTGGCTAAAATTCTGTTAACTTGTGCAGGACCAGATGGAAAGCATATGCTTAAAAAAAAAAAAACCAATTGGCCCAGCTTGAGTCATGGGCTTCCCCTTGGAGCCAGCTGGTGAGGCAACCCTCCATCCAAACCATATGGATTGAGAGGAGCAAACGGGACCTTTCCAAGAGAAAGAATGTGTTCTACCAGAAGAGGAATGTAGGCTAGAAAATCCCAACAATGACCACTACACATCCCCTATTGGTCTATTGAATGGGTTGACCTTCTGCTTGTAGAGCACTGCTCTGAAGAATATAGAATACAGCCTAATTCTGCTCACAACTTCAGAGTTTACAGAACTTCAGAGTTACGCTCCTATAGTTTGAAAGACTCCAGCTCAAAGAGTGCTCTATAGTGTAAACTAATTGATGATGGGAACCTTGGGGCCTTGTGTCATCTACTTCAAGGAGGGAACCTGAGCAGAATAAAGCTTTGGTGTGCTTTATGAATGAATGAACAGCATTACTCTGGTGATGCTGTGCTGGTACTACAAAGGGCTTTATATCTGTCATTGCCTTTCTTCCTCCCAATGTTCTTTCATGAATAAGGTAGCTGAACCTTCACTAGGAACAAAGTGAGCTCAAAACGAAATAT